AGCAGCAGAGCTTAAATGGGGGGTTCTGCAGGGGTCCATCCTGGGTCCCCTCCTATTCTCTTTATACCTGCTGCCACTTGGCGCTATTTCCCGGAAACACAACATGCCCTTCCACTTCTACGCCGATGACTGTCAAATTTACTTCCCACTAAGACACAATGGCACATGCTCAATTCAACCTTTGCTCAACTGCCTGGCTGACACCAGGGACTGGATGGCTTTAAATTTCTTAAGTTTCAATGAAAAGAAGTCTGAAGTCATGTTGTTCCCTCCCAACGACACAAACACAAACCACTGTATCAACCTCTCTGCTCTGCCCGTCAGAAAAGCAAAGAGTCACTAATCTGGGAGTGATAATGGACCCTTCCCTGAAACTTAACAGTCACGTAAACATGATTGTTAAATCAGGTTTCTTCCAACTGAGGTGGCTGTCTAAACTGAAGCCCATATTGTCCAAAAATAACCTGGAGACAGTAATATATGCATTCATTACATCTAGGCTTGATTACTGCAATTCGCTCCTGTTTGGTATCAGTCAGACCTCCATTGCATGACTACAACTGGTACAGAATGCAGCAGCATGATTTTTAACCAGTACAGGCAAAAGAGTGCACATTACACCAGTTTTGGCCTCACTACACTGGCTACCGGTTCACCTTCGAATCCAGTTCAAAATACTTCTGTATGTCTACAAATCGCTGAACACTTTCGCCCTACCCCACCCCCATCTCTCTGATTTGCTACAACCGTATGTCCCACCACGTTTCCTGTGGTCAGCGGACCAGTTGCTCCTCACAGTTCCAGGAACTCGTCTTAAGCGCAGAGCGGACAGGGCCCTCTCTGTAGCAGGACCAAGACTTTGGAACGAGTTACCTCTGCTCGTCAGACAGGCCACCTCCCTCTCAGTTTTCAAGACCCGTTTAAAAACCCACTAATATTCAGTAGCTTTCAACACCAGATGATCTGTGTTTTGAACCTGTATGCTTCACACTGGTTAGTTGTCATTATCTGCATCGTTTTTATGTCTATATGTCTGATTTACTTCATTTTGAATATTGCTTTTTGTGTTACCTGTTGTCCTGTCTGTACAGCACTTTGGTTGGCCTTGTCGCTGTTTTAAGTGCTA